AAGATGAAAAAGATCCAGTCGGGGATGATATAGGAGAGAATGAGGAGGGAGAAGTTGCTGCTGCCACTGCAGCGGCGGTGGCGTCGGTGGTGGTGATGCTGGGATTTTCCTTGCATTCCATGTTGATACGCGCTGTGTTCGTGTTTTCGTCTGGTTGTACTCTACTAGATGGGAGCAGAAAGAACGAATTTATAGGGAAGTGGTGAAACCGTCAAGAGGTTTACAGCTAGTAAATTGTTAGTCAGCTCATGGCGTCAACGTTGTTGCGTCATAAATGAGTGGGTAGACGTATTGCAAGGGACAAAGGTTATTTTATGGCCTTTTCATGACAGTGTTCAACTTTTATTTTATTTATTTATTTATTTTTTAGGGGAGTCTTTTCAAAAAGATATTTTTACTACCTTTCTTTAAAAATACATCTAATAAAATAAAAATCACTCGAAAAATCATTCAAATTAGTAAAAAAAATAAAATAAAATAAAAAGTTTCAAACTTTAGGTTTAAACTTTTCAAAAAACTTGACTAATGAAGTCTCAGTCCAATTTGATTTTTTGTACAAATTATAGGAAATAATCATGCTGTAATTAGAGTTATGTTAAACTTACATAAGGAGTTGACAAAATTGAATTACAAAATTACGACTACACTAATTATTTCAAAAACAAATTTTTAAATCATTCGAAATCAATGACCGAAAATCGCTCAAAAAATCATTCAAATTAGTCAAAAAAAAAATTAGTTTCAAAATTAGTTTTAAATTTTTCAAAAAAATGACTAAGAAGGTCCCAGTCCAGTTTTATTTTTGGTACAAATTATAGGAAACAATCATGCCATAATTATACCAAATAGTGGTACCGTAATTATATGAAACAATAGTCAACCATATTATAATACATTTTTAATACGGTATAATGATGATAATGCGAAAGATGATTAAAACTCGAAATACTTATTGATTAAATTTAATATCGAGAATCTGGCATTCATATTCATTGGTTCACTAAGAATACTATATAATTAGAACTATTGAGTTAGAATGAACCATAATTCTAACATTTGAAGGAAAATAAGAAGCACCAACTTAGTATTCTTAGCAAAGACACACTTTAGTAAACTAATCTTAACAAATTTTCAAGTTATTGTAACAAGGAAATAAATAAATAAAAATTAAGTTTCCCCTAAATAATAAAAGTTCCAATTTGACAACTTCTACGATAGAATATGACCTCAAGGTTATGAGTCTTGCAAGCTACCAAATTGCTCAACCCCGTCCTGAAAAGAAAAAGTGAAAACTAATAGACAAATAAGAATTGAATGTGCCCCTCTATCATATCTGTACAAATAAAATAGCACATTTATACTGAATGGTAAAGAAACCCTATATGATCATCGACCATAGAAATGAAAGGTTAATCCTTACCAACTTGATCTTGTTGCTCCTGGCAATAAACACGCATGAACCATTTCTCGAAGTATGTGTCCGGATAGTCCAAAGTCTCGATGGTTAGCTCTCAGTCTTCTAGTCGGAAAAAAACATTGATGAAGGCGCATAGATGCACTATTCCGTGGTGGGGGTTGTAACTTTCCATAAATTTTCCAATTGTCACTCAACGATGGAACTTTTCTTATTTCTTTTTTTGAGAATCGACGAATCAAATGATATTTCTGTTCCAATTTTTGCTTCTTCTTCTCCCTCTGAATCAAACTTTTCTTTGCCATAATGGTTCATATATATATATATATAATTGAATTTTGCAACGTAAGCTCTTTCCCACAAAATAATCTCTACTGCCTCTAAATCATCAAATTGTTCTATCCAAATTGCAATACTAGCTAGAAACCTGCATTGCTTTCATAATACACCCTAATATCCACAATCACTGTCTTTTCCTCAATATAATTTTCTTGAACATCCTCATCGACCTCAAGGCTAAGATAGGCTTGTCATCATAATACTAGCCTAAATCAATATCACAAATCATGATTGAAGGGAGCAAAAATTTTATCATCACATTCGTGGTCCACTGTTATGACTCTACGATCATCTGACCATCGTGGTAAAATCATCATTCTGCTGCTTCAACACCTACCTTTATCAATGCAATTGTTCCATATCTATCAGTTTTTCTAACATCATCACTTGAAGATACAATTTTGTTAACTCTCCATGTCGCATGATTTTTGCTATTTAGGTTTCGTGGACACCAAATTATTTTTATGAGGAACATGTACTCTTATACATAATTGATAAAGTGGAATAAATGCGGAAGATGATTAACATCCCCAAACACTTGTTGATTGAATTGAATAATGAGAATCTGGCCATCCAGTATTTATTAATTTACTAAGTATATAGAGTAATGAAAGTATTGGAAAACTCTCAAATTTTCATTAATGTACAACCAAGTTGAAACGAAATTCAGCTTAGTGGCTCGTCCCTATATAGAAAAGTGATATTATATATCAAATTCTAGCACTGTTGATTGGATCAACATATCAAATTCATCAAATGAAAAACATAATATCATTCAAAAAAAAAAAAAGAAGAAGAGAAAAACACACACACACACACATAAAGACAGAAACTTTTGCTCTGAAAAGTTCTTTTGACAACCCTTCTTTCAACCACCAACTAAAATAAATCTTTTTAGGATAAAAATTTTTTGTCATTTAAAGTGAGATTTCTTGAAGTCATTTCCCCTTACTCTATCCACTCGTATCGACTATCATGCAGATTTATAGCAAAGAGTAAAGGGTAGGACTACAATTAATGAGTAATAGTATTCATCCACAACGAGGATAAACGGTCTTGTATAATCAATTCTCTATATTTTTCTCTGATCCTTCCCGATGGAACTACTAGAAATTTTACTTCTAATGCCTTCAGTTTCTGGCGTAAAAGTTATGGTTGGTTGTTTCATTAAATAAAAAATTAAAATTAAAAATTAAAAAAATTAGTCCTGAAGAAACTTTTAAAATATATGTATCTAGTAGGACAAACAATAAAATATTTTGCCCATGGATTGAGTTTTCTCAGGTTGATATTTGATAAAGAATTGATTAATGTATTTTCCTTGAATTTGGATTTTTCACTTCTTAAGTTTGATTAGTGCTAGGAGTTTTGATCAAACAAAAACTCAAAACTAAAAGGAAAAAAAATAAATTAATTTCAAAAACGGCTTTAAAACTGGTCAAGACAGTAATATGTAAAAATATATCAATTTCTAAACTGTACATTGAAAATAAATTTAAATTTAGTAATACATATATATTATCTTTAGAGTCTCGTAGTACAAAATAATTTCAAGTCTTCCATACATTATTAACATTTTAAAATTTTTTCTCACCCTAAAATTGAATTTTAGTTTGAACTCTCGTACATTGTTGGATTTAGAGTTAAAATAAAACAGAAAAGATAAAATTCAAGATGGAGCAATCTAAGCAGGTAATAGTGAATTAGATAACATAATATAATACTAATAAAGCCAATATCTTAAAGTCTTGAACAAATATCAATTCTAGCAAATAATTTAAGATTTAAGAAGACATTATTGTTTGGATTAAGAATTTTGCCATTTGTACTGTCAACAAACGATTACATGCCCTTCACAATGTACGGGGCCTTCTTGTGAGGGACATGTAACATATAGCATGACACTTGGGTTAAACCCCTTTACTTGACATTGGCCCTGGTAATGTCACGGAGCCCCAAATGCATGATTTTTAGCCCTTGTTTGTCATATATTTTTTCTCATTTTTTTCTACAATACTCATTTTTAATTACATATTTTTTATTAAAATAATATTACATGGAAATAAAAAAACTTTTCTTCTTTTATAACCACATATTTTACATCAATCACTATTTCATAATACTTTTTTTTCTTTTTCTTTTTTCAAATT